ATGGAATAAGACAGAGCTGGACTCTTTCCTGATTGAAATCACAGCCAATATTCTCAAATTCAAAGACAGTGATGGCAAGTACCTCCTCCCCAAGATCAGGGACAGCGCGGGACAGAAGGGCACAGGGAAGTGGACAGCCATCTCTGCCCTGGAATACGGAGTCCCTGTCACACTCATAGGTAACTGTTCCTCCATCTGCCTTCATCCTTCCTGCTGCAGGTTCCACATCCCAGTAAGGAGGTTTTTCTAGATGTAGCTGTTGCAGCCTTTCTGCCCTGGCTACTGGTTTTGTCTGAGGGGCTTGTTTTTACCTTGTTCCTTAAATGGTGGCAGTACTGTTGTCACACCTGTGTCTGTGGTGTCCCCACAGCGCTGTGAGGACTCGGGGACAGGTGAACATGAAGTGCTGTGCTGGGAGTGTTGTAACACAGGAGCTGTAATACATCTGCAACACCTTTACAGTGCCCTAATACCACTGGTCTGGTGTGGGCTTCCTGTTGGGTAATTAAATGACTCAACAGGTTCTTTGCTCTCAGAATTGCTTTCATTTTCATGCTTTCTCTACTTCTTTTTCCTTTTCCTTGGCTGGTCCAGTCCTGAAGATAAGAAAGATTATATCCAGTAGCTAAAAAAGAGTAACTACAGTGTAGCTATCAGAGGAACATGGCTGCATTCCAACAACCAAACAACTTCCGTAGATGATTTTAATACTCTACTGCCGCCCTAGTCTTTCAGTTCTCGGCTTGAAACAGTATTTCTTTCTTGTGCTGTTAGTATTGTGCTCTTTGGGGTTCTTGCAAAGATCGAGGGTGGGGGAGGCACTCCCTGATTAGTGCTGTGCAGTGCCAGGGAGCATGGTTGGGTAACCATGGGCTGATGGGGAAGTGTGTGCCAGAGCCCTTGTGCAAACGTGGCACTCTCAGGGCAGTTGCTCTGTGTGGTTTTACTACATAAGCATGACTTGCAAACTTCTGCCTGTAAGAGCAGTCATGCTACTCCTGCTTTTCCCTGATTTTCCCACCCCGCTGCTCCTCCCCAGTGTAGAAGGAAGTTTTTTCAGAAATGGAAAGGAGCCAGTTCTGATTTAGGCGTGATATGCTAATCCTGCTGCAGGGAGGATCCAGAGTCTTGTGAAAATATTACTTCTTCTTCTTTTTTTGTTGTTGTTGGTTTGATTTTTGGTGTGTGTGGTTTTTTTTTTCTTTGATAATTCATGGCTAACTTAAAAGGTGAAACAAAGGTACAGTATGAAGACTTGCTTGCTTTCCTTCTGTCAGATTCTGAAAGGAAAACTTTTTCTTTTTTCTCCTATTTTACAATGCTGTCATCAGTTGCAAATAAATACTACTTAAACCAGCATGATTAGGAATTGACTGAGCCAGATCAAGAGACTGTCATTCAGGCTTTCTCTCTATGAGCTGAAAGTACTCCTGTGCTACCTCCTTAGCCCTGACAGATGACATTTAGTAACCTGCTTAGTGATGTTATAAAACTTTATGGGCTTCTGAACACTAGTGTTGGGGCATCCCAGATTTATGAATCTTATTTTCTCCTATTTTGATTTATTTTGATTTATTTTGATTTTCACTGCCCATGTGCCTGTGTTTCACTGTGTCTGTGGCTCATGTCAGTGACACTCACTGTGTTCTTGAGTCTCTCAGACACTGGCAGTGATACTCAGCTTTCTAATGATCTCCCTTTCCTGCCGTGCCCAAAGGTGAAGCTGTGTTTGCACGGTGCCTGTCTTCCCTCAAGGATGAGAGAGTGCAGGCCAGTAAGCTGCTGGAAGGGCCCAAAATGACTCAGTTCAGTGGGAACAAGAAGGCCTTCCTGGAGGACATCCGCAAGGTGAGTCCCTGTGCTGGGCCAGAGCTGCCCACCAGAGCAGGGCTGGGGTGCTGTGAGCCTGGGGAGGAGCTCTTGTGTTTATATTTCATAACAGTTGGTTCCTGGTTTCAGCCCTGTGCACTGGCTAGTGATGTCCACAAAGCACAGTGTGACCTATTCCTGACCAAAGAATAGTCCTGAGGGAATTCAAGTCTCCCCACAGTGGGCAGTGGTCACTACCTGGGGTGCAGAGGTCATAATTCATGCACAGGAGCTTTTCCACCCCTCAGCACTCCTGTCTTTGCAATGGGTACTGACCTCTTGATATCTCTCTCTGCCGAGACCAAGCTTTCCAACAACTAGAAAGGATATTTTGGTTCTCAGATAGCTGGAATGTGTCAACTGTGCTCATCCTTGTTGAGATGTGGACTAAACAGAATATGTAGACTGTGAAGTTTCTAGTTCAGCTTTGTGGGACTTCTCTTGGAATGTGACTTTGGATTTTTTTTTAGGCCCTGTATGCTTCCAAGATTATCTCCTATGCTCAAGGCTTCATGCTGCTGAGACAAGCAGCCAAAGAATTCGGCTGGACGCTGAATTATGGTGCCATTGCACTGATGTGGAGGGGAGGCTGCATCATCAGGAGGTAATTAAGATGAGGAGGTAACCTGGTTGCTGAGGGGAGAAGAGCAGGCAGTTTAGTTTATGTGGTGCTTGGCTGACAAGCCTGGAGATTTCCTTGGAAAATCCATGGAGTTACTCTGCTGATGAGGTCCTGAGAGGCTGTTTCTCTACAGAGACAGACTAAAAGTTACCAGATGAACCCTCTGTTCTGGTGGCTTAGAAAATCTGCTGCAGATTTTCTTTGGTCTTTGTAATGTTTGGAATCTGAGTCTGGCTGAGTGAAATTTTGGCACTGTAAGTTTTGGATTCTGGGCCTTTGTTGAAAGCTGTGAAATTTATTCCTGGTTTACTTCTGCCTAGTGTGTTCCTGGGAAAAATCAAAGATGCTTTTGATCGAAACCCTGACCTCCAGAATTTGCTGCTGGATGATTTCTTTAAGACAGCTGTTCAAAACTGTCAGGTGAGTTCCAAGGAAAGGAGAGCACAGAAACAATAATTTCAGCCAGGACTGTCATGGTTCTTCTCTTTGATACTGCCCCAGCTATGACTGGGAACTGAAGGTTTCCATTTTACTGTTATAGAAGAGCCTTAGGCAATAGCAATTCAGAAGGACCACAATATGAGGGAAGAATGCCTGGCCTGTATGAACATTCTCATCACTGCCCTGTGCACTTGGATTTCTGTTCCAGTACCATTGTTTGCTGTAGCCCCAAAACAACAGTGTTCCAAACCCGCTGTTCTTTGGGCCTGGGTCTGTCCAAACAGTGTCCTGATTTGGATGGAGCTGACAGGCAGAATTAAAACCAGATTATCTGGCCAACAAAGAAGTCATATATTATCATTAATAACTCTTGTAACTGAATCTAAATATTTCATGCAAGTTACTGGATCAGATGAACAGTTGTACCAGGGATTATCCACATGTCTGTCCGAAGTATCACACTGACCTCTTATGCCCCTGGGCAAGCTTTGTCCTCAGCTTGGTGAGAGGTCCTGGAAGTGCCTCAATGTTTGCTCAGAACATTCCCTGCTGGGTTTGTGCTTTTGGGATGTTCTGATCATGTTTATGTGAAAGAACAGCATCCTTGCTTGAGGCTGTGGTTTGAGTTCATGCCTCAACTCTTCTCATCTTGTTATTAACTCTTATCTTACTTACCATAAACAGGTCGACCTGTTTATGTAAAATCAGGAATCTACTGCTGATTTGCACAGACCTGGTTATTAGATTTCATAGAATGTGAAATAGCACACAGTGCCTATGCCTGCACATACCTCTGAGCAAGCACTGATTAGTTTCTTTTTTCTTTATTTCCCCCCTCTTCTCCTCTCTCCCAGGATTCCTGGCGCCGTGTGATCAGTACTGGAGTACAGATTGGAATCCCTATGCCCTGCTTCACCACTGCACTTTCTTTTTACGATGGATACAGGCATGAGGTACTGCCTGCTAACCTGATTCAGGTGGGTACTGAAGTAGCTCTTCTGGCTACTGAAATATTATTATGTTATTTAAGCACTGCTTTAAAGGCCTCGGTGGCAGTATGTCCTAATCATTCACAGTATAGATTGCCTCGTGTTTGTTACACTTGAAATACACCTGAATATCAATAAAATACTTAGAGATATCTGGATAAAGAACACCAGAGATACTGGTGTAGCAGTGCCCAGCATGTGTTAGTGTCCCATCTGTGAACCAAGGGGAGTGATATCTTTGAATCAAAATGCTTTGTAGAGAAGTATCTTTGAATGTTTGCATGTATAAGTGCTTGCTTTTTAGATTAGTACCAAGCAGAAGTAATATAGTTATGTTTCTACAGAACTCATAATTACTAGATATTAATAAATGTTTCATTGCAGTGATTTTTCTAATAATGAGACAATAAATTTGAATGTTATGATACTGAAGTCAGATCTTTTTTCTAGTATTCCTATAGTTGAGTATCAGTAGGTGCAACTTGTAGTCCTCATGTGACTGTGCTATTGATGTGTCTGTTTTGTGTGTTCTTGTTCCAGGCTCAGCGGGATTACTTTGGTGCACACACATACGAATTATTATCGAAGCCGGGGGTATTTATCCACACTAACTGGACAGGCCATGGAGGAAATGTGTCCTCTTCTTCCTACAATGTCTAATGGAAATCCTTCCACTTGAAGCCAAAATACTGTAGATCTCAGATAATTCTCCTAGAAATCACTTTTTACTGTGCTAGAACTTGTGTTTGGACACTTTTGTAATAACTTGTGGGTATATTTCATATATATATATATGTATATCTCAATATAAATATCATATAAGAAAGCTAAATAAATTTAGTTATAAATGTATTGAGGTTTTTTTTTTTTTCAGTACTGCTGGCCAGAATATCTTTGTGCAGTATTTAATAGACTACAGTTTATAATTACAGCATTTTTATTGTATTGTAGTGCATAAAGTCCTAGCGATCAAGGCAGAGATGAACTGGAGTTCAGTTATTTCTGAGGTGGAGAGTGTCAGACAGCACAGTAATGCTACACAAGGTCCTAGGGAGGCAAAGGCCTTTTTTTACATTGCCATGGTTTATTTGTAACGGGCAGTAGCTTAATTCTTACAGATTTAATTCCTGGGTGTTCACACTGTGAGCTCTCCGTGCTCTCTGTGAGAGGGTGAAGGGTGGGATGGATCATGGAGAAACGGGAACGATATTCCTGTCACCAAACCATTCTCCAACATCTGTTATTCCTAGATTTAAGCTCTGGCATAAACCTTTGGCCTAGCTGTGTGCTTGCAGTTTTTACCCCAAATCTCCCTGATTCTTTGCCTCTTCTTCCCAGGGGGCAATTAAAAATACCCACAGTTGGCTCTGTTTTATATCCCCTCCCTGCAATGCTACTGCCAGTCATCTCCAGGACTTCTGAAAATTCACCTGGATGTCTGAACCTTTCGTTTTTCCCTCAGAAGTGTTGAACCTTCCCTTTCAAGTGTTAAATTTTGTGCTGCGCGCTGATTTTTTGTAGCACTTTTTTTTTTCTCCATTTATTTCTGCTAAGGCAGCTACTTATTATCGAATATCTCTATACGGCAAAATACGACTTTCAATTTCAATCAACTTTTCTGCAGAGCACGCAGTAATATTCGGGATTTCCGCGAGATAAACGAGTGTGGCGGGTGCCGGTGAGC